GGGGAGGTCAGACTCATGACCAAAGGAGAGATTTCCAGAAGGATTAATGTGCAGACCAAAGGTACTGGCGGCAGGTGAGTGACATAGGGAGCAAGTGGGGAGAGTGCACGCGTGTGCCAGAAATGAAGGAGAGGGAGAGAGATGAGGGGATTTCTGCATGAGAGAAGAGACAAAGGGACATGAGCCAAGAAAAGGAGGGAACTGGGAGGAAAGGGAAGAGATTTCCAGCCCAACACAGTTGAGATCTGAGGGGGAGCTGAACCCCTCACAGTTGTGAGAAAATTATGAAGCCAGGGGAGAAGGTGATCAGATTTTGGAGCTATGGATTGTGTCCCTCTATAGCTCCTTTTGGTCCCTGTAGGATTCATCAGGGTTCATGCACTTGGCAACATTCAGGGCACACCCGGAGTGTTGTGTAGGAGCAGTGCACACATGGCTCCTCTCAAGGGCATGAACCTTGGAAACTCGCCCAGATGACATGAACTGTGGGAAGCCTCCCAGGACTGGGCTCAAGGCCCAAGAGCAAGGAATGCGGTACATAGAAATTGGTAAATAAGAATATTAAACAAAGCCAGTGTATTCCTTTTATCTGTTGGAGTATGTAATGTGTGGGGGGAGAGAGAGAATAAAAGAGAGGGTGGAAAGCTGACAAAGCAGACCAGCCTGCTTGCTTGCTTAAAGCCTTGTTCTGTCTTGTATTTGGACTGCAACAGGTCCCCATTTTTTTCCTGGGGGAGTGTGGGGCTCCTTCTGGTGGTATCTCCAGTTATCATGGATGTGAGCCTGCCAGGTCACACCCTCTGATGGAAATGTGAGAGATTAAATCATCCCTGGATTCTCTTTCCACTCGGCAGGTGCCGGGATCCTGAGCAAAGCCGAGATATGGACTCATGAGGAAGGGCCTGAAAACCTGGAGCCGCCTGACATGTTACAAGGGGGATCAGGAGAGACTGCTTGCCAGAGTCCTGAGCAGGAAGAAGCCTGCAAGAAGTAGAAGAGGAACCAAGTCTGGAATGTGTCAGATCCCTTAGGGGAGTGCGAGAACAGATTCAGACTTTCCCAGCCACTTCCACAGGGCAGACCCGGGACCATGGGAGATCTTAATAGCCAAGAGAAACCCCATAAATGTATAGACTGTAGGGAAAGCTTCCATGAAAAGCAGGAACTCTTGGCCCATGGGAGAGTCCACAGGAGGGAAAAATCCCATCCCTGTGTTGAATGTGGGGAGAGGTTCAAGCATCAGTCAGAGCTTTCTAAACACCAAAGATCCCACACAGGGGAGAGCCCCCATTCCTGTGGAGAATGCGGGAAGAGCTTCCAGCATCTGTGCATCACCAAATCCACATGGGGGAGAGACACCATCCCTGTGGTGAGTGTGGAAAGGGGTTCAGCTGCCCCTCAGATCTCAGCGAGCACCAGAGGTTGCATGCTGCCGAGAGGCGCTATTCCTGTCCTGAATGCAGGAAAGGATTCAATCACCCCTGCGAACTGAGCAGGCACCTGCGAATGCACACAGGTGAGCACCCCTTCCCCTGCCCTGAGTGTGGGAAGGGGTTCAGCCAGAGCTCGGATCTCAACAAGCACCTGCGGGTACACACGGGCGAGCAGCCCTATCCCTGCACTGAGTGTGGGAGGAGCTTTAGCCAGGTCTCCGCACTCACCCTACACCAGACAACCCACACTGGAGAAAGACCCTACATCTGCGACGTGTGTGAAAAAAGGTACACACACCCATCAAACCTCATTAAACACAAGAGAATCCACATGGGGGAGTGACCCTGGGGAAGGCTTTAGCGGGAGAGAGCCTCTGGTGTGCTGCCAGAGAATCAGCAGCATCACGATGGCAGATCCCAAGGGACAGAGCCTCCTTGCAGATCGAGTGCCACCCAGACTGATTTCTAGCTACAGCCTACCAGAGAATTCAGCTAGACAAGTGAGACCTTCCCAGACATGGACTTCGCTCCAGACATATGTGTATAATAATGTGAAACTGAGGAACAGGAACCACTACTACAGAGTTTGAGAGACATTGGCCCCTACCCCCGACTCCCACCATCTCTTCCCAGAACCAGTGGTTTAAACCACTGGGAAATGAGGAAGGGCTTCCTCTGAGGAGTTGTCCAGTGCCAGAAATCCCCCAGCAGCAATTAGTCCCTTACTTGCTTTTTAGCAGTCAGGGGGTAGTTTGTCTCTTCCCTGCATCCGTGTGAACTCATTTTGTTCCCTGCTCTGGCTTCCTCTGTGGCTGGGATGGAGCCTAACTTGGGGCTCTCTGCCTTTGGGTAACGGAGGTTTCTTTAGCTGTGTTTGGGATTCCCCTGGGACTTGCTAGAGTTGTAAGCAGGAGGAGGTAGAGAAAGCATTTGTCCCATGGGTTGGGGAGGCCCCAGCATCCACCTGAGAGATGGCTCCAGAATCTTGCACCACAGAGTCAGGTAAGATCTTTACAGATTCCAGACCTGATTGTCCTCTTACTCACAGCAGTTTTACATTGTCACTCTCTTAACTTCAGTGGAGTTACTCCTGATTTACACCAGTGGGAGTCTAAGCAGGACCAGGACCAGCATCCCCTGGAGGTGGAGAATATATTTTATTTCTGTCAGGATTCTCAGAGCCCCCTGCCTAAGTGATTTGAGATATAGATGTGGCCTTTGGGTAGGATCAGGCTATTGGTGTCTGAGGACTGTTTGGAACTTCCCAGCAGATTTAGGATCTCTCCTAGGTCTCTCCTCCCATAGACTCTTCTCATGGGAGCCATGTAGTAGTTCTGCATGTTATTTTAATCCTATACTTCTAGGATTGCTGACTATATTTCTGCAACGGAAGCAATGCTGTGACTTGCATGGGAGGTGCTTTCAGGGTTCCTGCAGCTCATTGGCCCAGGCAGAAAAGTTACCTGGTTCCTTTGGCCTTTATTTTATTTTCAGAGCATACTTTTTGGCAATTCATGTTGTGCTGAACATGACCACAATCCCTTCTCTTACTGCACCCTCTCCCCAAATACTTGATCATGAACCTATTACAGCCTGCCTTTTAATGTGGATTTGATTGTTTGGTATCTTTAGGCCCGATGTTTCCTTCCCCGATTCATTTAAAACTCCAGTTGCTAACGGAAAAATCAATTACAACCCTAAGATTAGGAGAGACCCTGAATTTTCACACTTTCAGTGATTTGAAATGTTTACAAACTCTGGCTTTATTGAAACCAACCTAGGAAAAGGTTGTTCAGGATTCAAAATAAATGATGTCTCCTCAGCACCAATCTTCTCCTTGTATGTGTTCATCTACTGGTTTCTTGTGGTGTTGGCATTCACAAATGCAGATCCAATGGATAAGGGTCTGTCTACACAGAGTCGGGAGCACTAAGTAACAAGATGATGGGTTACATGCCTCAGAGTGGCTTTCGGGTATGTCTACACTATGCACCTTTTAGTAACACAGCTGCGCCGCTAAAAGGTGCGCAGTGTAGTCACTCTTTGTCAGCAGGAGAGAGCTGACAAAGTGCTATTCACACCAGTGCTTTTTGTTGGTAAAACTCTTGTTATTCGGGGGGGAGGGGGGGTGTTTTTTTCACTCCCCTGAACGACAAAAGTTTTATGGATGAAAGTCCAGTGTAGACAAAGCCTTAGAGAAGAAGTTAGGAAAATCAGCAGCGTCTATAGGGGCTTTGGTGGTTGCTTTTACTCCATAATAATGACCATTGGGAAGCAGAGGTCAAGCATGCCCTGCAGGTTGACTTACCCAGTGTCATACATCTTCCTGTATTCATCCATATAGCATGGGAATAGGGCAAGTCACAACACGCAGGCAAAGGAAGCTGCAACAGAGTGTGAATGACGCAGTTCTTTAAGACCAGAAAGGACCTTTATGATCACATAGTCTGACCTCTTCCATAACACAGGCTATAGCATTCACCCAGTGACTTCCTCCATTGAGGGGAGGTATAGCTCAGTGGTTTGAACATTGGCCTGCTAAACCCAGAGTTGTGAGTTCAATCCTTGAGGGGGCCATTGAGGGATCTGGGGCAAAAACTGGGGATTGGTCCTGCTTTGAGCAGGGGGTTGGACTAGATGACCTCCTGAGGTCCCTTCCAACCCTGATATTCTATGATCAAGCCTGGTTAAAATGTGTCTTTGAGAAAGACATCCAATCTTGATTTAGAAATTCTAAATGATGGAGAATTCACCAGATCCCTTGGTAACCTGATGCAAAGCTTACATATCCTCACTGTTACAATTTTCACCTTGTTTCCAGTGAGACCTTTGCTGACTTCAGCCTTTGGACCTTGGATTATGTTATGTATTCATTTGCAAGATTAAAGAGCCCTCTAGTATCAAATACTTTGATCAAGTTGCCTCTTGACCCTCTCATTGTTAAGCTAAACAGAGTGAGTAGGTCTTGTCAGTGCTTCACTGTATGACATGTTTTCCTAGGCCTTGGGTCATTATTGTAGCTCTTCTATGATGTCTCCAATGTTTAAAGTGGACGCTGGAACTGAACATACTATTGAAACAGTGATCTCCACAATGACATGTAGAAGAAATATCACCTCTTTATCCCAGCCTTGGGGATCATTGCTCCTGTTATTCTTACACAGGGTATTGTGACTAGGGCTCAGAACTGGTTCCACTGGGATTGTCCTGAAAATGACCATGTGAGTCATAGCCCCACTGGAGCCAATTCCCCACCTCCCTGCCAGCGTCCCTCTCCATGGTGGAACCTCCAATATTTACTAAGGGCTAAGCTGCTCTCCACTAGCAATGGGACTAACACCTCATCCTCACATATACGAGAAGCCACCAGCCCACAACCGGCCCTAACTTTCAGCTACTCCCAGCATGGACTAAGCTTGAAGTAAGGCCCCGAGATGAAAGGCTGCAGAGCCCATTCTCTCTCTGATGTTAATTGTTTTACGTCTGGGTAATTTAATGTAATATTTTCCCCCAGTGGGGTTTGGACCTGAAGGGCTGGGAACATAAGCCAAAGAGCTGGGAACAGGCTTCAGTTCTCATAAATGGTTTTTATTAAAAGGTTTAACCAGCTTCTATAGAAATAGACACAACAAGCAGGAGAATGGCTGTCCCAAAACACCCTCCTACATAATCCTCACTAATGAGAGGTCTGCCCATGCTGCTGAGAGTAATGGACACTTGGGAGGATAACTGTGCAAAGGGCCTGGATTGTCCCCAACCCTCATCATTGTATGGAAGCAAAGGAGTAAGAAGAAAAGGTTTATTTGTGGTGATGCTGGTAGAATGGGGGGGGTGGGGGGGGGAAGAGGTGTGTGTCAATCTAGTAATAAGTTAGATTTGATCCAGGGGGAAGAACTAAATGATGGAGGGCCCTGAAGGGGATGGGGGAAGCAGGTGCTGTAAAGGAGATAAGATGGTGATCAGAGAGGGATGGGTCTCAGTGATAAGACTGGTGGATATTGAGACAGGTAGGGGTGAAGCAGCAGAGGAGGGAGGAGCATACTGGTTGGACATTTGGGTAATGAGAATGAGTGACAGACAGCTAATTACTAATTAAGGGACTAGGGAAGGAGTTAAGTACACTAATGACTGAATTGACAGGGAGTGCTGTTAAATTCATTATAATCAGGTGAAGAGGAAATCATATAAATAAATCAGAACAGCAGCAAATGAGGTATGTCAGTGAGTTAAATACTGAGGGTCCATTCCTGCAACGAGCTCCAAAGGAGCCTGTTAGAATCATAGAATATCAGGGTTGGAAGGGACCCCAGAAGGTCATCTAGTCCAACCCCCTGCTTGAAGCAGGACCAATTCCCAGTTCAATCATCCCAGCCAGGGCTTTGTCAAGCCTGACCTTAAAAACCTCTAAGGAAGGAGATTCTACCACCTCCCTAGGTAACGCATTCCAGTGTTTCACCACCCTCTTAGTGAAAAAGTTTTTCCTAATATCCAATCTAAACCTCCCCCACTGCAACTTGAGACCATTACTCCTCGTTCTGTCATCTGCTACCATTGAGAACAGTCTAGAGCCATCCTCTTTGGAACCCCCTTTCAGGTAGTTGAAAGCAGCTATCAAATCCCCCCTCATTCTTCTCTTCTGCAGGCTAAACAATCCCAGCTCCCTCAGCCTCTCCTCATAAGTCATGTGTTCTAGACGCCTAATAATTTTTGTTGCCCTTCGCTGGACCCTCTCCAATTTATCCACATCCTTCTTGTAGTGTGGGGCCCAAAACTGGACACAGTACTCCAGATGAGGCCTCACCAATGTCGAATAGAGGGGAACGATCACGTCCCTCGATCTGCTCGCTATGCCCCTACTTATACATCCCAAAATGCCACTGGCCTTCTTGGCAACAAGGGCACACTGCTGACTCATATCCAGCTTCTCATCCACTGTCACCCCTAGGTCCTTTTCCGCAGAAATGCTGCCTAGCCATTCGGTCCCTAGTCTGTAGCGGTGCATTGGATTCTTCCATCCTAAGTGCAGGACCCTGCACTTATCCTTATTGAACCTCATCAGATTTCTTTTGGCCCAATCCTCCAATTTGTCTAGGTCCTTCTGTATCCTATCCCTCCCCTCCAGCGTATCTACCTCTCCTCCCAGTTTAGTATCATCCGCAAATTTGCTGAGAGTGCAATCCACACCATCCTCCAGATCATTTATGAAGACATTGAAGAAAACCGGCCCCAGGACCGACCCCTGGGGCACTCCACTTGACACCGGCTGCCAACTAGACATGGAGCCATTGATCACTACCCGTTGAGCCCGACAATCTAGCCAGCTTTCTACCCACCTTATAGTGCATTCATCCAGCCCATACTTCCTTAACTTGCTGACAAGAATACTGTGGGAGACCGAGTCAAAAGCTTTGCTAAAGTCAAGAAACAATACATCCACTGCTTTCCCTTCATCCACAGAACCAGTAATCTCATCATAAAAGGCGATTAGATTAGTCAGGCATGACCTTCTCTTGGTGAATCCATGCTGGCTGTTCCTGATCACTTTCCTCTCATGCAAGTGCTTCAGGATTGATTCTTCAGGATTGATTCACATGGAGCTCCTTTGCAGAATCAGGGTGTATGTAGTCTGATCAAAACCTCCCATAAGTACAACTGAATTGGTAGTTGTGGTCAAAGGCAGCTGAGTAACAAGAGAGCTTCTGAAACAACAGGGGAGTAAACAGAAGTGATATCAGAGTAGTGATCAGGGCAGGAGCAGAAGACAAGGGTGAGAGATGAATAAATAGCTGGTTATTCAAGGACGGTGCCCAATTAATTAAGTAGTAAGCAGTAAATGCATCATCAGTGGTGTTAGTTGAGACAAGGGAGCAGGAAGAGTCAACCAGGTGAACGGGATTTAATAATGCACCATGGCAGACTTTGGACATATTTACTGGGTGGCAGCTGGGGAGGGACAAAAGGACTGGGATGCAGCTAGGGCCAGTGAGGCAGAGCAGGGAAGATGGCAGCTACACAGCTGGTCAGTGGTGGGGGCAAAGGAGCTAGATTGCCTGTTATGGAGGTGCAGTCCCTGGTGCCTCCTACTCAGTTACAAATCTGTGAGAGGTGCTGCTAGCAGAGGGGTGTTTGGGTGCTGTTGGGAAGCAGGGCTGTTTCTCCTATGGAGTTGATGGATCTCAGATGTTGAGGGCCTTGGAAAACAAAAATCCTTTCTCCTCTTCTAGCTGGCCTGCTTTGCTTATAGGTACTACAAATACACACCTGCCTCAGAGCAGCAGAAAGGAAACCAGGGCTCTCCAATCACCTTACCTCCTTTCTGCAGCACTTCAACATATAGAGAGAGCTATACAGGAGTTAAGTGTTATTAGTAAAAGCAGGTAGGAACAGAATATCTTCTGGAGGTTTCAGGCACTGGGGACTCCACTTAATCCTCCCTCATTCTCCTGTAGGATGTGATGGGGTGATAATGGCATAAGGGAGGGTCGAGGGCTGATTTCCCTCAGGCTGTGTAGTAGTGGCTCATGTTCTTCTGCTCCAATCACATATATAGGCTAGTGGGAGCAGAGCTCTCAGTTAGTCTATAGTTAAACATGGTCTCACGTGTTTCTGGCTGCGGCTCTGGCATGGATTCTCTGGTGACGGGCCAGGGAGGATTTGTTACTGAAGCTCTTCCCGCATTCAGGGCATAGGAAGGGCCGCTCGCCCGTGTGGGAGCGCTCATGCACGATGAGATCAGCGAGGTACTTGAAGCTCTTCCCGCACTCGGTGCATGGGTAAGGCCGCTCCTCGGTGTGGCTTCTTTGGTGTTTAGTCAGGTTGGAGAGCTGGCTGAAGCACTTCCCACACTCAGCACAAGGGTAGGGCCGCTCACCTGTGTGGGACCGCTGGTGCTTGTTCAAGTCTGAGGGGTGAGTGAAGGTTTTCCCGCACTCAGCACAGGAGTAGGGTCTCTCCCCTGTGTGCAATCTCTGGTGAGTGGTCAATGTGGAGAGGTGGCCAAAGCGTTTCCCACACTCTGCACAGAAATAGGGTTTCTCTCCTGTGTGGGTTCTCTGGTGTGTCTTGAGATGAGCTAGGCAGTTGAAGCTCTTCCCACATTCAGCACAAGGATGGGGCCTCTGACTCCTGTGGACTTTGCCATGCTCTGTAAGCTTCTGCTTTTCCCAGAACCTTTCCCCACAGTCTCTACATCTGTGGGGTTTCTCTGTCCTGAGAAAATTGCTTTGATGGTGAAGGTCCCCTATGGTCCGAGGTCTCCCCGGTGCAGGGAGCTGGGTTAGTCTCCTGAATCTGCTGTCACGTTCCCCTGGGGGATCTGTCTCGTGTGCTGGGCTCCTCTTCTGCCTCTTGCAGGCTCCTCCTTGCTCACGTCTGTGAGTAACACTCTCCCCCGATCCCCTTTCTGGTACGCTGGGCAGCAGCAGGATTTCAGGCCCTTCATCACAGGGCTGCTCCTCAGTTCTGCTCAGGATCCCGGCACCTGGATGGAAAGAGAATCCATTTCATGTGCTGCTGTTGTAAAGGAAAGTCACTCATCTCATGGCCATGACTGTGACAGCCTCACATCTTCCCCACTGGAGATGCCCCAGAGTCAGCCGTGCAGAAATGGGGCTGAGGGGAGCTATGAGGGGGAAAAGTCAGGAATGCCCACATCCCCATTCTTCATTCCCTTCCTTTTTCCCCCTCAGACCCTACCAGAAGGTTTTCATAGCCTCCTTCTCCTCCCCTTCAGTCCCATCACCTTGCTAAGCACCATCCCACCCACTCTATACATCAGAGGTGGGCAAACTATGGCATGCAGAACCCTCCTGCCCAGCCCCCAGCCCGGGAGGCTAGCCCCCAGCCCCTTCCCTGCTGTTCCCCCTCCCCCGCAGCCTCAGCTCACTGCGCTGCCAGCACCCCGAGCTCCTGGGGCAGCACAGCTGCAGAGCCGGGCTCTGACCCGTGCTCTGTGCTGTGCGGTGGCGTGGCTGGCTCCAGCCGGGCAGCGCGGCTGTAGCACCACCAGTGCTCCAGGCAGCGCAGTAAGGGAGCAGGGGGGGGTTGGATAGAGGGCAGGGGAATTCGGGGGGGTGGTCAGGATAGGGGTTGGGGCAGGGAACGGGGGGGTTGAATGGGGGCAGGGGTCCCGGGGGGGGCAGTCAGAAAGGAGGGGGGGTTGGATGGGGTGGCGGGGGGCAGTCAGGGGACAGGGAGAAGGGGTGGTTGGATGGGGCAGGGGTCCCAGGAATGAGGAGGGGTTGGATGGGGTGGCGGGGGGCAGTCAGGGGTGGGGGTTCCAGAGGCGGTCAGGGGACAGGAAGTGGGGGGGCGGTGGATGGAGTAGGGGTCCCGGGGCAGCTATCAGGGAATGGGGGGGGGGGGGGGTTGGATGGGGCAGGAGTCCCGGGGGGGCCATCAGGGGGTGAGAAGCGGGGGGAGGGGGCGGGGCCGGACCACGCCTGGCTATTTGGGGAGGCACAGCTTCCCCTTATCAGTCCCCCATACAATTTCTGAAACCCGATGCGGCCCTCAGGCCAAAAAGTTTGCCCGCCCCTGCTATACAGGCTTCTTTGCCCGCAGCCTCCTTTCTCTCACTCCTGCCCTCTCGGCTCACCTCCTTTGCCTTCACTCTGTGCCTCTCCTGTGCTTGTCTCTTTACCTCTTCTCCTAGCTGAACATCCCCTTAAATCTTTCTGTCTCTTTCACTTTTAGCTGGCTCTCTGCTCCTGGTTTCTCTCGCTCCCTTCAGCTCACCCCAAGTAGTCTGTTTCTCCGGAGATCAATTCCCACAGAAGCAGGACTAGCCAATCTATTTGGTACACACCTCCATTCCATGCAACTGCTTTTCCTGCTCTTCCTAAGGTGATCAGAAGGTGACGATCATGCTCCGTTTATTACAGAAATCCACTTAAAGTATTAGCTATCCTGTGTATGTGCCCTTTTGCTAAACCATGTCAAAATCCACTGCTGCTGCCCAGGACAGTTTGTTCCTCCCAGGATTTCTCAGCCCATCAGCATCACAATGCCCAGTGCTGAGGCTCATTCTCCAGGCTTTATTTTTTACTATATCATACATTACACCAGTACATGCAGATATTCTTGTTCCTGAGTTTGGCAGTGAATTCAGAGGGCCTGAATTCTAGCTCCTGCATTCCCACTGCTACAGCTCCCAGAATGCCAGGAATGACACAGAGGATAGTTCAACATAGTGGAGGCAGGTGGCAAGGACTTGGGTTTGCACAGCTGTTCCTCTCATGGCCAGCCCCACTTCACTCACTGCAAAGGCACTGGAGCTTTCCTGGGCCAGGGATGATGAACTGTGACCCACAATACCTACCCTAAATTCCGTTAATGAGCACCCACTGCCGCCATGCAGCCCCCTCTCTTTCTCAGGCATCACTCTTGTTTACCTGTAGATGGAAGGCTCTATACATCATTACAGTTCTCCAGAGCCATTGAGTTCCCCTCCCCGGACCCTCTGACTTAGGGGTTCCCTTGCTACTGTCATCTGTGCCCCCTTCCCTTGCTGCCCCCACCTTGGTGAGAAGAACACCCCTTATTCCCTGTACATGGCTTATTACCAGTTTCCTGTAGTGCTTGATTCTCCTTAGCACAGGGCAACTTGGACTTGTTTTGTCCAACCTCCTCTGGGGGAAGACACTTGTGATTGGGTTGAAGTTGCTCCAGCTGGGAGTTCTGAGATTCCCATAATGCTTCAGGGGTCTCCATTTCCTCAACCTTTACGCGCACGGTGACCTAGGAATGAACCCAGTACAAGCACATCACTTTGGAGCCAGGCCTGAGAATCACAGGGAAGAGCTGTATCTAAAAGGCCCTGCTAGCAAAGCACTCCATGCCCAGGGGCTCCTAGCCCCTTACAGGGTCAATAGGACTTGGAGGACCTGCCTCACTAAAGTACAGACTCATCCCTCTGATGAGCTGAAGGGGGAGTCACAGAGGTTATTTTATTGGAGCCATGTCCTGTCCCAGGCAGTTAGGGCCAGCATTGCAACTGGCATCCATGCAACTGGGGCCCTGTAAAGGACTGAGCAGGACATTACAGGCATCAGGCACTCCAATGTCAACGTGCCTGGAGGGTTTCCAAAGCATTCAAATTGGCAGGGTCCCACTTGCCCCCTTGACCACTGTCTGAATCACCTGTCCTGTGGATTTGGCCACTCTGCAGTACGGGCTGATAACATCTTGTAGATCACATCTGCATCTCAAACTTTGTTACCGAATCATAGAATATCAGGGTTGGAAGGGACCTCAGGAGGTCATCTAGTCCCACCTCCTGCTCAAAGCAGGACCGATCCCCAATTAAATCATCCCTGCCAGGGCTTTGTCAAGCCTGACCTTATAAACTTCTAAGGAAGGAGATTCCACCACCTCCCTAGGTAATGCATTCCAGTATTTCACCACCCTCCTAGTGAAAAAGTTTTTCCTAATATCCAACCTAAATCTCTCCCACTGCAACTTGAGACCATTACTCCTTGTTCTGTCATCTGCTACCACTGAGAACAGTCTAGAGCCATCCTCCTTGGAACCCCCTTTCACGTAGTTGAAAGCAGCTATCAAATCCCCCCTCATTCTTCTCTTTCGTAGACTAAACATCCCCAGTTCCCTCAGCTTCTCCTCAGAACACGTGTTCCAGTCCCCTAATCATTTTTGTTGCCCTCCGCTGGACTCTTTCCAATTTTTCCACATCCTTCTTGTAGTGTGGGGCCCAAAACTGGACACAGTACTCCAGATGAGGCCTCACCAATGTCGAATAGAGGGGAACGATCACGTCCCTCAATCTGCTGGCAATGCCCCTACTTATACATCCCAAAATGCCATTGGCCTTCTTGGCAACAAGGACACACTGTTGACTCATATCCAGCTTCTCGTCCACTGTAATCCCTAGGTCCTTTTCTGCAGAACTGCTGCCAAGCCATTCGGTCCCTAGTCTGTAGCGGTGCATGGGATTCTTCCATCCTGCATTGTCCTTGTTGAACCTCATCAGATTTCTTTTGGCCCAATCCTCCAATTTGTCTAGGTCCTTCTGTATCCTATCCCTACCCTCCAGCGTATCTACCTCTCCTCCCAGTTTAGTGTCATCTGCAAACTTGCTGAGGGTGCAATCCACACCATCCTCCAGATCATTTATGAAGATATCGAACAAAACCGGCCCCAGGACCAACCCTTGGGGCACTCCACTTGATACCGGCTGCCAACTAGACATGGAGCCATTGATCACTACCCGTTGAGCCCGACAATCTAGCCAGCTTTCTATCCAAATGGAATGCCATGAGCTTTTCCTCTCAGCCTTGCGCACCCACACATGCTTCCTGGGCATTCAGGCAGAGTCCTACCCTCACTTTGAAAATCCCAGGGCATCCAGCTCTTGCTAGAGCTCCCAGGTGCACCTGGATGCATACTTATACCTGCTCAGGCTTTTAATAATGTGGCCCTTGTTGAGCAAAAATGGCTCCTTCCTTGCCCCCTTTCCACAGCTGCAACATCCAAAATAACCTGCTGAACAGCATGTTTAAACACAGTAACCAATTCTCCCTCTCACCTTCCCCAATCTCACTGGGGCTTCACTATTGATCCAAGCCCTGGTGAGGCACTGAGTGCACTGTAACAGCAGCCACAGTTGCTCAGGATGGGCCTGCTGAGAGGTACTGAGTGAAGGGGACAGGTGGGAGGCAGCAACATTTAAAAAGAGAGAACACCAGGATCTACAGAGCAGAGTGTCACAGAGCAGGGAGCTCTGGAAATCCCAGTACCTGGGGACCAAGCTGAGTTCTGAGCCCCAGACCCCAGTGCTGAGAGCAGGATTACACAGAACAAGCCCATCTTGAGAATTCCTGTGTTCACCCAGCGCCCAAACCTACCCCATCAAATTCCCTGCAGAACCCAATGGACATTCCCCTGCACCCACTCTCACCTGCTGCTCCCACACTCCAGCCTCTCGCTGTCCCAGCTGGAAATCCTCTGCCAGGGACACAGCCTGGGCACAGGTCTCCGGGTGACGTACCCAGACCCAGCTCTGGATTTCCTCGGGTAGGATGGTCAGGAACTGCTCCAGGATCAGCAGCTCCATGATCTGCTCCTTGGTGCGGATCTCCGGCTTCAGCCATCGATGGGAGAGTTCCTGCAGGCAGCTGCAGACCTCTTGGGGCCCTTTGGCCTCCTGGTAGCGGAACTGCCTGAAGTGAAGGCGCTGCATCTCCGTGCTGATGTTGCAGCCTCGCAGGATGGCTGCCTTCACCTTCCCATAGTCTCGGGCGTCTCTGGCATCCAGGCTGCTAATGGCCTGTTGGGCTTTTCCAGTGAGGGAGGGCAGGAGTCGGGTCACCCACTCTCTTCTGGGCCAGTGGCAGGCTTCAGCCACTTGCTCAAAGGAAGCCAAATAGACCTCGATGTCATCCTCTGGTGCGAGCTCAGGCAGTTCTGGGTTTCCCCAGGCCCGGGCTGATGCCGAAACAGCCTCAGGAGAGGTCCAGAGGGCTCGCAGCATATCCTGACTTTGATTTTCCCAATGCTGGGGGATCTTCTCCTGTGGCTCAAAGCTGGATTTTTGTCGTCCTGTCCAGGAGAATGGGGGACTTGCTGAGATGGGTGGCATCACAGCAGCGTCTTTCTCTTCTCTCTCAGATTCCTTCCGTGGTTTGGGGCCTGCTGGATTTTCTGTTTCCACTTTGACATGCGGTAGCACAGCTTGTAGTGGACCCTGGATCTGCAGCCCCAGGGACTTCTGACCACGGTGCTTTGCAACCATTTTGTGTCTTGTGAAAACAGCCTTATCCCAGCTGAGGTAAGTGCTCTAGTTTTCAAAACTGCATCTCTCCCTTGTTCCTGCTGGAATGGTCCAGACTCCTGGGGCTCCTGCAGCAAAATACTGAATAGGGATTTCACTGTGGAACAAGGACCCCAGTAAACAGAAGGGAAAAGAGACACCCAGGCCTGATTCACCCAAACAGCCGGAGCTGTAACCCCTGCTCCCCTTCAGCACAGACTGGCCCCTGCTGACCCCTAATCCGGTACTGACAACTAAGCACTCAAAAATCACGAGTTTAGCTTTATCATCAGGAGATTTACAATAATAAATGGTGGGTTCTGTTTTGGACCCTGTAGGATTCAGGTTTCTAAGCTTTTCTCTGCAGCCTTGAGGGCTAGGAACTTACCACTTCATTCATTTTAACCAATGCAGGCACTGAGCTGAAGCTCTAAGAACAACATCAAATATCCGGGGGCTTGTGATAAGCTTGTGAGAACTGACAATAATGGTCATTTCAACTCCCTGCCCCGCTCCCAGCACAGGAAGGCCCCACCCTGAGGCCCTGACCCCCATCCAGCCTGACCCATAACCCCAGGTCCCTGCCCCCCAGCACGGAGAGGCCCCTCCCTCACCCCACTGCCCAACCCCCACCCGGAACCCCAGGTCCCGGCCGCCCCCCGCCTCACCTCGCCGCCCCGCCCGGACGCAGGGGGAGGCCGGTCCCCTTCCCCAGACAAAGAGCTTCCGCCCCGGCCAGCGCAGGGTTAATCCCCAGCGCGAGGATTGGCCGCGATCTCTGTCAGTCAGTCAGTCAGAGCCCGGCCCCAGCCCCCGCTCGGCCACCCCGGGGGCTCAGTCCCTAGAGCCGGGAAGGGGGCAGCGGGCCAGAGCTCGCCCACCCCCAACCGGGGCTACCCCGCTGCGGGGCGGCTGGGCCTGTGGCTCCCGGGCAGGGGGGACTGGAGGGTGGCCCTGCAACCTTGGGCAGGGGGCTGCCCGCCCAGAGCTGGAGACCCCCGCCCCAGGGCCGGCTCCCTTCCAGGATCACCAGTCAAGGGGATCCAAGGGGCTACTTCCCCCAGCATCTTCCTCGGGCTGACTGCTGCCCCCCTGTCGGGGCTGTGGAGACACCCTGCCCCGACACCCTTTAGTTCTCAGGAACCTGCCAGCCCTGACCTGGGAAACCCCATTTCAGGCCTCTCTGGCCCCTTTCTCAGCTCCCCTCTGAGTCCTCACCGGGATGAGACACACTGAACAAAAGCAACAGAGTAAAAATCCTCCCCCCTCTGGGAGGGTATGTGGAGCCAGGGGGTCAGAACAGGGCCTTGGTCTTCTGACTAGCTGAAGTTACAGGCCAGGTGGGTGGGATGTATAGGAGGATCGTACAGGGGGGTTTCTGTACTGTGTGGGGCAGCAGAAGGGGTTACAGGTCTGGGCAATATGTAGGTGATGTGGGAGCTGAGTTTACTGCAGTTCTCCCTTTCCCATTACCCAGCCTCCATTGAGCCAGGGCCTTGTCTTCTGCCTCCCTTCACAGAGTTGTTCCATTGTATGTAGACCTGGCATAGTTAGGCTGAAATTCATCCTCTCTCTTTGCCATTTAGATGTTGTTCTCTTCTGGTAATTCTCAAGACCTGGGTCTGTGGCCATATTTGTTCCCTGTGTGGTTGAAGGTCGAGGAATTTACCTCAGAGGAGATGGCACCACCTGGAGCATTATGACAGTCTCAGAGCTCCCAGCCTCAGTGATTGCAGCCCAGTCCTGAGGGTATGTCCCAGACTCCTAGGACCAAAGTACTAACTGCCCTGTGTCCTTAAAAAAAGGAGCTGTGAGCTCTCCAGGAAACGGATAATTAGCATATATAGGGATCTGGGCAGCCTCTCCAGTGTGTAAGGTATTGGGGGCACTGAGGGATAATGGGGAGGGAACTCTCTACGGCTGAGAATATGGAGGGACAGGGTGGCTCAGGGAATTAAATTAAGGCATGGAACCCTTTATTGCTAGAGCATTGTACACTTGATTGGATAACAGAGATTGCACAGATTTCAGAGTAACAGCCGTGTTAGTCCGTATTCGCAAAAAGAAAAGGAGTACTTGTGGCACCTTAGAGACTAACCAATTTATTTGAGCATAAGAGATTGCACAGTGGTAGTGGGGGCCTCACCAAGGATATTGGGAGATAATCGGGGTTTCAGCTGACAGGTGTTTCAAGAGGGGAGCAGATGCTTGGTGCTCATGTTGTGTGTTGCATCTCATTGGAGCCTTCAGAGGGAGAATCTGGTGCCTCACAGGGATAAGCCGACATACAGGCCTTCAGGGCATATGGGGCAGGACCTATAGGTCTGGGGTTGTGGTAGCTTGGCATCCCACAGTGAAACAGCCACCTGTTTTTGCCATCCCCAAGTCTCCTGTTCATATTCTATCCAGCAGGTGCTGTCTTCTCACAGCCCTGCGGCGGGGGAGGCAGAGTTGCCAGGCAGTATTTGGTGGGGGGGTTTTGAGTTTCTCACCATCGTGTAGTTCTTGCCATCAAGTCTGTGAATATTCCCCTATTCAAAATGGCCGTCGTCTCCCATTATTTCCAGCTGGTCTGAAGCCAAATTGGCCTCAGTCAAGATAGTCCCCATTTTCCTACAGCCTTTGTGTGTGGCAGTGAGGCTGCCCCTGGCATAGGTGGCTGCCCGTGCCAACTCCCATTGTTTTCAAGGAGACTGAAGCCAAACTTCTCAGGGAAGATGGCTGTGGCTCAGTGGTCAGAGGGACCAGTGGGAAACGAGGAAATGGGACTGCAGGGAGGAAGACAAGCTAGGGCAGTGGTTCTCAAACTTTTGCATTGGTGACCTCTTTCACACAGCAAGCCTGTGTGCGACTGCCCCTTATTAATTAAAAACACTTTAAAAATATTTAACACTATTATAAATGCTGGAGGCAAAGCAGGGTTTGAGCATGGAGGCTGACAGCTGTGACTGCCCACATAATAACCTTGCAACCCCTGAGGGGTCACAACCCCCTGTTTGAGAACCCCTAAACTAGGGGCAGAGCCCCTCTGAGCAGCCAGCAGGCAGGCTGCCACGGTGGTTTGGAAGAGGGATTTCTAGAGCTGAGGCTGAGGCCTGGGATCTCTGCTGTTCCCTGGACCGTCCTACTTCCTTCTGATATCTTCCCAAGTAGTGTAAAACTCCAGGGCCTTTCCGGGGGCGGGGGGGGGGGTGAGCTCCTCCTGTGGCCAGCCCCATCTGCCCATCCTTGCCACCTTCTTGCACTATAGGTCCATCTACGTTTTGAGCAGGGGGTGTAATTTCCAGGTCGAGGAGCCTTAGCCACATTAGCTCTGATTGAGCTGGTGTGCTAAAACAGAGTGTAGCCATGGCGGTGTGGGGGCTAGCCGCCCCAAGAACATGCCAGGCATCTTGTTGGACCGGTATGTGTGGGCAGCTAATCCCTCCCACCTCTCCAACTACACTCTATTTTTAGTATGCTAACTCAAACAGAGCATCTCGAGCTGTGAGTTACATCCCAGGTTGAAGTGTAGATACATCCCTATGTCAGACAAGCCTCAGTGTCATCTGTTCCCTGGGCAGTGAGAGTGTAGGACCTGGGATCCAGCCCCTGTCTTGGCTCAGAGCCACACTGGGATTAGGAATATTTATGAGTTGTTGGAGATGGCAAAACCTGACCTAGACCTGGCTCCTCTTCCTCCACTTTCACTGGAGTTTCCCTCACTCCTTCTATGAAGTCTACAAAGCATGTCGTGTCCCCCTCCAATCCTTATTCTTGGCCCTTTTGCTCTTCTTTTGGAAACTCACAAAGTCCTTGGAAAAGGACATTCTGCCATTCCATTTTGATATCTCAGGGTTGCTTCCCTGAAACATGCATGTTTCCAACACTGACTCCTCAGCAGCAGCTTTCAGAGCCCTTTCTGAGGATTTGGCCAACAGCTAGCCTGTTAGTCAGGGGTCGTTGACAGTGATAATTCCTGAGTCTTGTCTCCATTACAGCTACCCCTGTTCCTTCCCAGAGAGCAGGTACATCAGGAGTGAGTTATGACCTAACTTGCCAAGTCACACACTCATCCACACTGAGAACAGCTGGGCTGCAGGAAGCCAAGCATCCAGTCACAATGCACAAGACTCACTAACTACCTTGGAGTTGAAGTTCCAAGTCTGGTTTTACTTTGCTGGTTCAGAGAGCCCAGCACTCCAGGACACGTGATGTCTGCATGGGAACAGCAAGATGCCTGCTCCAAAGGGTGAATATCTCTTCCAGGCATTCAGTGCAGATGCAAAGATGCTGGGCTGGTATCCATTCTTCCATTCTGGTTCTTACACCTGTAACATTTTGGGGTAAGTGACACCAATTGCTTCCTCCCTACTGTAAATTCTCAAATACTGTAATGTCTTCTCTGGAGCGTTAGGTCCCTTATCCCCACTGTGTAGTTCCGCCTGAACTGCAGATAAAAAGGTAGGGGATAGATGGCTGGGAGTAGAGAGGCTGTCCCTTTATCACATGGAATGGAAATTATGGGAATATAGGAATTGCCAGGCTAGATCAGACCCAAGGTTCATCTAGTTCTGTATCCTGTCTGACTGTGGCTAGCATCAAATGCTTCAGAGGCTGGAGTAAGAACAAGAACCACCACCACCACCCCCGCCCCAGTAGCAGATATAGGACAATCCACTGCCACATAAAGTCTTATCCTGATTGCCTACCATTAGAGATTGGTTTAAACCCAGAAGCATAAGGTGTAATATCATCACCATAATTTTGTTTGTAATAATTATTGTAACTGGATATAAGAATACCCACATATGTATCCAATCCTTTTTTAATCTTGCTAAGTTTTTGACCTCAAGGACTTCCTGTGGCAATGAGTTCCTCTGTCTATATTACATGCTGTGTGAAAAAGTATTTCCTTTTATTATTTTTCAGTGTGGGAGTGTGCTAATAACATTTGCAGATGACACAAAGTTGGGAGGTATTGCCAATATGGAGGAAGACCAGAATATCATACATGAATATTTGGACGACCTTGAACACTGGAGTAATAGAAATGGGATGAAATTTAATAGTGCAAAGTCATGCACTTAGGGACTAATAAGAATTTTTGCTATAAAGTGGGCACCTTATCAGTTGGAAGTGACAGAAGAGAAAGACCTGACTGTGTTATTTGATCACAGAATGCCTATGAGCCATCAGTGTGATGCAGCTGTGAAAAAGGCTAATGCAATCCTAGGATGCATCAGATGAGGTATTTCCAGTAGAGCTATGGAAGTGTTATTACCATTATACAAGGCACTGGTGAGACCTCAGCTGGAATAGTGTGCGCAGTTCTGGTCTCCCATGTTTAAGAAAGATTAATTCAAACTGGAACAGGTGCTGAGAAGAGCTATTAGGATGATCAAAAGAAAGAAGAACCCATCTTAGGAGAGGAAACTTAATGATCTTAGTTTGTTTAGCCTAATCAGACAAAGGCTGAGAGAAGATATGATTGCTCTCTATAAATGCATCAGAGGGATAAACACCAAGGAGGGAGAAGAGATATTTAAGTTAAGGGCCAATGTTGACACAAGAACAAATAGATGTACTGGCCCTCAGCAAGTTTAGGCTTGAAATTAGATGAAGGTTTCTAACTATCAGAGGAGTGAAGTTTTGGAACAGCCTTCCAAAGGGAGGAGTGGGGAAAAAAAATCTAACTGGTTTCAAGACTGAGCTTGATAAGTTTATGGAGGAGATGGTATGATGAGGTTGCCTACAATGTCATCTGGCCCATCTGAGACTGCTAGCAGCAAATATCTTCAATGGTCAGAGATGGGAAACTAGATGGGGAGGGTTCTGAGTTAGTACAGAGAATTTTTTCTCAGGTGTCTGGCTGGTGGGTCTCACCTACATTTATAGGATCCAACTGATCTCCATATCTGGGATAGGGAAGGAATATTGGCAGAGTCCCTGGTGGTTTTTCGCCTTCCTCTACAGCTTGGGTCACTTGGGGGTTTGAACTAGAGTAAATGATGGCTTCTCTGTAACTTGAAGTCTTTGAGTCAAGATTTGAGGACTTCAGTAACTCAGCCAGAGGTTAGGGGCCTATTACAGGAGTGGTTGGGTGAGGTTCTGTGGCCTGCGATAGGCAGTAGGACAGACTAAATGATAGTCTCTATTGGTCTTAAAGTCTGTTAGTCTAATTTGCCCCCCTTTAGTTTCATTCAGTGTCCCCAGGTTTATGCGTTATGAGACAAGGAGAATAGAGAATTTCCTGATCTATCTTCTTTATTCCCGTTATTTTATATGCTATTATCTTGCCCACTCTTATCCATCTCCTTGCTGAGGGAAACAACCCCCATCTTATCCATCTCTCTTCATAGGAGAGTTCTTCCAGGCCTTGATTATTCCCTTCATCGTTCTCTGAACCCCCTCTAGTTCTGCAATATCCTGTTTGCGACAGGGTGACCCAGTTCAGCACATAAGATCTACATCAGGCTGCACCACTGATCCTCATGTTGCCCAGTGTCCCCATGCACATCTCAGACTCCCCTCTAAGTGTTTGAGTTCTCCCATCCCCAATTGCCCCAATTTCTGCCTCTCTCCCTTACCATTCAACAAACGGAAACCCCCCTGGAGTCTGATAAACCCATCATTATAGTGATTGGGAAGTTACAACTGCAGATAAGAAACAAAAATGACAAAAGGGCAAATGACACAAGAAAGCTAATTAAGGGACATAATAATGCAGTTAGACAGTGTCAAGTGACTAGTAAGAATTAAGTATGTAGAACAATAACCAATAATGAACACTATTCACTTAATTACAATGACTGTTCACATGATTCAACTAAAAAATACCAGAAATTCAGAAAAGCAGCAGACGAGGTAGGTCAGTCAATAAAAATAAAGGCCCTGATCTTGCTTGCGGGGACCTCATTGCAGGATCAAGGCTACATGCTCAAAATCTCGCCAGAAACAGCTAAAGCAATAGTTGTACTGATGGGCAGCTGAACAGTCACACAGTATGGACAAAAAAAAAGCACACTGCAGAGACAGAGCAGTAAATAAAGAGTTAACATGGCAGCGAGCAGGGCAGGAGCAGCAAACTAAGGAGGCAATGAATAAACACACAAGATTCATTACACAGCAAACATAAATGCTTAGTTTGGGACAGGAAATAGCAGGAAACTCCTCTCAGGAAAGCAGGAGATGGGACGATGTGGCAGAGTTTGGGCATAGTTACAGAGTGACATCGGAGGGCTTGAAAAGTCTGGAGTGTGGAGAGGGTGATTGTGCAGCCACAGAGGCAGAGCTGGTTGACACAGATGTGGCCAAACACCTCCCCCTGGATCCACAGTTCCCAGCAGTGCTGGGTCTGATGCCTCCTTGTGAGTTCGACGTAAGCAGCAGCCCTTGAGGAATTCTTTGGTTCTTTTTCCTCATGGAGCTGAGGGATCTTGAGCCTTCCTGGGAGAAATCCCTTCCCTATCTTGAGTGACCTGCTCACAACCCGGGCAAGTCCCTAGGTTATTGCAAACACACACCCCCACCCCAATCCCAAAACAGCAGAAATACAGAGAGCCTGTAGTAGGCTGCAGCCCAGCCCTTAGAGAAGCTACAGGGAAACCAGAGCAGATTAATTAATGTTCATGTGGACACGAGAGACAGGTTGCTCAACTGCTACATAGAGTAGGTAAGGGAGAAGTCCCTGCTCGGGGGTTTCAGGGGCTGGGACTCCTCAGAGCATAAGGTGAAGCCACCCTCTGTTCTCATGGTTCTTAATCCACCTCATGGAGTTTGTGAGGGAGGGATGGAACTGGTACTGGGAGAAGGGGGCTGATTTCTCCCATTTCCTGCACTAACTGTTTCCATTCCTCTACTTCACATTATTATACACACACAGCTGGAGTGGCGCTCTCGGCTGGCAGGTCTCACTTGTTTCTGGCTGCAGCTCTGGCGTGGATTCTCTGGTGACGAGCCAGAGAGGATTTGTTACTGAAGCTCTTCCCGCACTCAGGGCAGGGGAAGGGCCGCTCGCCTGTGTGGGAGCGCTCATGCACGGTGAGATCAGCGAGGTACTTGAAGCTCTTCCCGCACTCGGTGCAGGGGTACGGTCTGTCCTCGGTGTGGCTTCTTTGGTGCATTGTCAGATTTGATTGCTGGCTGAAGCGCTTCCCACACTCGGCGCAGGGGTAGGGCCGCTCACCTGTGTGGGAGCGCTGGTGCTTGTTGAGGTCCGAGGGGTTGGTGAAGGTTTTCCCACACTCAGCACAGGAGTAGGGTCTCTCCCCTGTGTGCAGTCTCTGGTGCGTGGTCAGCGTGGAGAGATGGCCAAAGCTTTTCCCACACTCCCCACAGGAGTAAGGTTTCACTCCCGTGTGGGTTCTCTGGTGGGTTCGGAGATGGGTCAGTCTGTTGAAGCTCTTCCCACATTCAGGACAGGGATAGGGTCTGTCCTTCTCATGGACTCTCCCATGGGCCATGAGGTCCTGCTTCTCCCAGAACCTTTCCCCGCAGTCTCGACATCTGTGGGGTTTCTCCATCCTGTGAACGCTGCTCTCCTGGCTTTTAAGGTCTCTTACGGCCCCAGGTGTCCCTTGAGCAGGGAGCTGTGGGAACACCCTTGGCAGAACTCGCTCGGTCCCAGCTGGGTTTCTCTTCTGCCTCTTGCAGGCTTCTTCCCGCTCAGGTCTGCAGGCGACACTCTCTCCTGATCCACCTTGCGACGTTCGGGCCAGATCCAGGTTTTCTTGCTCTCCCAAATTGGGCTGTTCCTCTGCTCTGCTCAGGATTTTGGCACCTGCTGGGTGGAAAAGAGAAATTATTTGAGATCCTGCTGTTGTCAGGAAGAATCACTGGTATCCTTGCAGCAGGTGTGACTGAGGCAGCTTCAGGTCCCACCCCAGAGGAGATACCCCCAGCAGAAGCCCTAAAGTCAGCAATGCAGAAATAGGGGCCAGAGGCTCACTTGGGACTTCCATTTGTTTCTTTCCTGTCAGCTCCCCAGTTTTCTTTCTGCAGCTCAATCCACACAGACAGCATTGGCCAAACTCTTTGCTAATCTGCTCCATTCTACAGAACCTTTCCCTGCTGTTGTTATGTTTCATTAGGAGGCAATCAAGCTCCCTCTGCTTCCTCCAAAAATGTACATAAAGATACTAACCACATACAAGCCCTTCTGCTAAACTATGCCAGGGAAACAAACGGGGTCTCCCTGTGTTACACTGCAGGCACCTGATGCTGTGGGGAGGAATCAGAGAGGCTCCATGACCCAACATTACCGCTGCCTGGAGACAGAATGTTCAGCCTAGGATGTCCCAGCCCATCAGCCCAGTAATGCTCTGTGCCATCCTGCGTCACATGCTCTAGGCAGTACTTCACTATAGTGTCGCTTACATCAATGTCTCAGAGACATTTCCAATGTAGCACTAAGCCCACATAAGAGGGTGAATTGCAGTTCCTGCACTCCCCCTGTCAAAACATCCCGAAATCCCAGGGAGGAGAGGACACTGGGCAAGCGGATGGCAAGGACTTGGCACTGGCCATGAGGAACAGCCATGCAGCCTGGACTCAGCCCTCTCTGCTAAGGCCCTGGAACCTAGCACTGCCAGAGGTGATGGACTGACTGCCTCTGAGGACACTAGCATGGCAGCCATCTGTCCCAGGAAGCTGTGTCCGAGGGAAGCTACATGCAGGGGCTTGGGTCCCTGTTGACATCTCCTGGAGAAACTGCAGTTTAGAAATTACAGTTTAGTCTGTGTGAGACAGATAATAGACAGACATGACTGTAGAGACTGAATGGCACAAGGGAGAGGCTGGGGAGCCATCTGACTAGGAGGATGGCTGCACACGCTGAGACCAGCAAACGGCATCAGCACCCCAGTGGGCAAGAAGCAGTGAGGCTGGCAGAGAAGCATCAGATTGTTCCCCCAGCCCCTACGGGCCGGCCAGGGTAGGGATGGAAAAGCCTGGCACAGCAGGAATCAGAGGGAGCACCTTCTGTTAGCCACCTGGCTGTTACCAGCCTTGCTGGATATGGCACGATTAGACAGCTCAGCAGATGCACCCTTATAACAGTTAGCGCATCACAGGAGTTTATGCTGGGTGCATGAGAGCGAGCAGGACAGTCCTAGAGCTGCCTGAGAAGGGTTAGGGATAGCTGGGGGTAGGACTTCCCCTACTAATAGGGATCTCTTGGGTGGGACTTAACACCTTTGCTAGATTCGGAGGGGGGGGACGGGGGGGGGGACGACAGCTGAACACATCTGCTAAAGAAAACCTGGAAGGAGCCCAGAAAACTGCCAGATCATCATGCCCAGAAGAGGTAACTGCTCCCAGAGCAAACAGTGCTGTGATGGCTGCTTGATGAGACCAGTTCCTTGCTAGCACCTGCTAAAGGTCTGTGGAAGAGAGGCCCAGTGGTAACCTAAAATAATGATGCCAGAGAGAACTAAACCCCAGCAATTTCTTTCCCTTCCTTCAGCAGGTTCCTCAAAGAAAGAGGCTCCTCAAAGGATGCCTTGATGGGGATAGAGACAGCTGGAAGAGAAGGTGAACAGAGAAGATGCCACCGCTGGAAGAGGGAAACTTACCACCTGACTTGATGCACAGGAGACAAGTCAGCAGTAGGGGCTATAAGAAAGGCTGGGAAGGGTCCACGACTGCTATAAGCCAAGGCAGGGAGCACCCACCTGCTAGACAGAACCTCTCTGTAAAGGTAAACAGTCCCACCTAACAGCATCTGCACAGAGCTCCTGGGTCAGGTTAGACAGTGAGAAACATGCCAGAGCCCTCTCTGTACTACAACCCCACCCTTGCTACCCCCAGAGAGGCTGCCCCAGGGATGGAGGCCAAGCTCCCTCTGGGATAACATCCCATGAGCGTCTCACTATCTCGGGTCCTTCCTGCTTAGGATTCTCCTCATTCTTACTGTTCCAGCAGATAAATGCGAAAGTAACCACAGCTGCTCTGTTGAGACCATCAGGGTCTGAATCCCCTCTACATGCTGGGGAGCAATTTAAGAGGTGCCAATTCTGCCCTCACTCCCCATATTAGCACCTAGAGGATGGATGGGAGGAAGTGGCTCCTTCCAGGAATCAGTCAGGATGCACGGGAAGGCCTGAGGGACGTGGGTCAGGAGGAGAAGGCACCTGCTTGGTAGGATCCTGAACAAGGAGACAAGAGATGGCAGAAGGAGGCAGCCACTTGATTGGGGGCAGCCAGAGTGCAATCCAAATTGTATCCATAACTCCATATGTTACACAAGATATCAGCCTCCACATAGGCTCTTCCTCTGAAACACCAATCCCACCTGTGAGCACCTCGCATACAACACCCACCTTCCAAGGTCTCTAAGGTTCCTGTTAGCTACGAAGCCCACAGTCACTACCAAGATTGACCAACCACCATTACGTGGCCTGTTCCGCAGGCACCAATCCTGCTGTGCATTAACCTACAGATTGATGGCTCCACACCTCAATATAAATCCTCTGAGCCATAAAGTTCCCCCCATTCTCCCCTCCATGCTGTCCCCTCCACACACCCTTTCCTCAGAAAGGCACCCCTGTTCCCCCACATGGCTTATTACCAGTTTCCTGTAGAGCTTCGGTCTCCTCTTCAGGGGCACTTGGCAACTTGTACTTGCTCCGTCCCACGTCCTTCTGGGATCCCCATGTGGTATTGGGCTGTAGTGGCTCCAGCTGGGAGCTCTGAGATTCCCATAATGCTTCAGGGGTCTCCACCTCCTCTGGGGTCACTTCCTCGACCTTCACACGCACTGTGACCTGAGAAGGAACCACATGGGTCACCGTGGAACTAGGGCCTCAGAATTACGGGGGGAGAGTCGTATCTAAAAGGCCCCATTAGCAAAAAGAGGTCCACCCCCAGGGCGAAGGCTCCCGCAGCCCCTACCAAGGTCAATAGGACTTGGAGGGTCTTCCACACTGAAGCACAGGCATACATGTGGGCAGGCTCACCCCCAAAGTGATGAGACAAAGAGGCTGACCAAGAGGAGCCCTGCCAGTCAGGGTCAGTACTGAACACTGCACAGTACTGTACATCCCTGCCACTGGGGACACGACAGACACGCGGCGTTCCACAGCCTGCGAGCCTAGGGGGCTTCCAGGCAGCTGTGATCTGCAGAGTGACAGTCCCACAGCTGTCCTGAGGGACACCCCGGTGTGCAGGAATTCTCAGCAGTGGACAATTTCCCTCAGAACTGGGCCCTGCGGACACCACCAACAGCTTGGGGGAGGGCCCTAGAGGGAGGTACCACACCCCTTCCTCCAGGGGGTACAATGAGGGAAGAAATTCTGGGTTCTGTCTGTGGGAGCCCTGCACCCTTGACCTCTCTACCAGGGTCTGATTACAGCATGCTTATATGCTGATCGCTAATTGGCATTTAGATGTCATTAGCATATGGCTAGTGCATATGGTGATGTATACTTAGTGGCCAAGTCCGCTCCATCCTGAGCCCCCCATGCCCTCCTGGGCATTCCAGCAACTTGGGCACAGTTGACACCAACTTTGACAATTCCCTAGACACAAAACGGTCCGTTGAACCTTTGTCTGGACAAAGCTGGGTACCTGCCCTTAGGCTTCAGATGGGGTCATTTATTGTGATTAGAAACTGCCCCTTCCCTGGCTCACATGCCAAGTGAGCAGCATCTAGCCCCGAGCAAGAAATGCTTCTGTAATAACACATTTTAAATCCGTGACCAGTTCTGCTTGCAGTGTGTTACTGAGGCATCTCTACCAGGTCAAGTGCTGAGGAGAAGGTCGTGCTGTCACCCTCATCCCCAAGAAGGGCTCCTGAAGGGTACTGAGTGACTTTGCATACTAAAGAGCCAGTGCCATCTACAAACCAGAGAACACCAGGATCTGCAGAGCAGAGTGTTGCAGAGCAGGGAGCTCTGGAAATCCCTGTGGGGACGCAGTTGAGCCCTGAGCCCCAGACAGCCCAGACCCCAGTGCTGAGAGCAGGATTACACAGAACAAGCCCCACTCACGTCCTGCCTTGAGAATTCCTGTGATCACCCAGCACCCAAACCTGCCCTGTCAAATTCCCTGCAGAGCCCAAAGGAGGCAGGCTCCTGAACATTCCCCTGGACCTGCTCTCACCTGCTGCTCCCACACTCCAGCCTCTCGCTGTCCCAGCTGGAAATCCTCTGCCAAAGACACGGCCTGGGCGCAGGTCTCCGGGTGACGTACCCAGACCCAGCTCTGGATTTCCTCGGGTAGGATGGTCAGGAACTGCTCCAGGATCAGCAGCTCCATGATCTGCTCCTTGGTGCGGATCTCCGGCTTCAGCCATCGATGGGAGAGTTCCCGCAGGCGGCTGCAGACCTCTTGGGGCCCTTTGGCCTCCTGGTAGCGGAACTGCCTGAAGTGAAGGCGCTGCATCTCCGTGCTGATGTTGCAGCCTCGCAGGATGGCTGCCTTCACCTTCCCATAGTCTCGGGCGTCTCTGGCATCCAGGCTGCTAATGGCCTGTTGGGCTTTTCCAGTGAGGGAGGGCAGGAGTCGGGTCACCCACTCTCTTCTGGGCCAGTGGCAGGCTTCAGCCACTCGCTCGAAGGAAGCCAGATAGACCTCGATGTCATCCTCTGGCGTGAGCTCCGGCAGTTGAGGGTTTCCCAAGGCAGGGTCTGGAGCTGACACAATTTCAGGAGAGGCCTGTCGGGCTTGCAGCACCTGCCGTCGCTGGGACATTCCTTCTTGTGGCTCCGTCTTGACCTGATGTAATCTAATCCGGGACCATCTGGGAGTTACTGAGATGGGGGGTGCCACCACGGGATCTTTTGCAGCCCGCTCGGATTCCTTCCCCAGTCCTGGTTCCATGGGATCTCGCTTTTCCATTTTCTCTTTAGTGGGCCCCACCTGCTGCAGCAAAGCCTGGACCTGGAGGTGCAGGGGCTGTTGGCCCGCCTGCTCTGCAACCGCTCTCTGTTTTGGGGTTCGGCCTTTTCCCAGCTAAGGTCTAGGCTCCAGTTCTCAAACCTGCTTCCCTCCTTCGTGCCCCTCTTGGAAACACTGGGGAACCTGCAACAAAACAGTTCATATGGATTTTCCTGTGTGACGGGAGAGCGTGACCCACAATACACAAAAGGTAAAAGAGACCTTGCCTCAACTTCCCCAAACACCCGCTGGCCTGTCCCCCCAGCCCCGCCCCACTCCCCGACCCTCGCCTACCCCCGCTTTCCGCAGGACCTGGGCGTGCAGGACCCCGGACACAAAGGAACGCGGCGGCTCCTTTCCCAGCCGGGCCTGGAGACAGGAACTCCCCCCGGCCAGCGCAGGGTTAATCCCCCCTCTGCGCGGCCAGGACTGGCCACCAGCGCTGTCAGTCAGCCGCAGAGGCCGGCTTAACCCTTCCCGGCGCTGCCTCCGCCGCTTCCCAGCCGGCCCCACGGCCGGAGCTGGCGTCTGCCCGGCGCTGCGAGCGGGGAGGGCGGAGCCGGGCTGCGCAGCTCGGCCCGGGGGAATCCGGGCGGGAGAGTGGGGCGGTGCCTGGCCGGGGTCCGGCCCTCGGCACCAGGCGCACGGGCTCTGCCAGGGGCCGGGCTCGGGCGGCTGCTCCTGGATGGGATTTGCCGTCCCCGCCCCGCTCTGGGACTCGTGTGAACGCTGCTGTAACAGGCTGCGGGGAGGAAACCAGGCGCTGGTCTGAGACCTGTCGCTGAAGCCCTTTCCCCCATTCTGTGCCCCTTGCAGGGGGGCGGGCATAACAGGAAAGGGGTGGGGGGGTCATCACAGCCTAGCGATGTCAGGCTGGAAGGGCCTTCCAGAGGTCATCTAGTCCAGCTCCCCCACCTCCGAGGCAGGACCCAGCGCCCCTCCATCCTTCCCTGCAGGGCTTTGTCTAAGGGGGCTGCTGAGGACAAAATGAACCAAGGAACATAAGGCTGTTCCGAGAAGAAAGGCTTTCATTGCCTAGCCACTAATGCTAGGTGCCTGGGCAACAAACAGGGAATTGGAACGGCTCATGTGTGAGACAACTACATTGTCTGGTTGGTGTTCCTGACACCTGGTGGGACGATTCCCAGGCCTGGAGTGCTGAATCCATGGGTACAACCTGTCTAGGAAGAATGGAGTAGGAGGGGCAGTCTATATCCAAAATGGGATTGCCTGTTTCTGAATCATTGATAATGCGAAAAAAATTATCTTGAATGCTTATGGATCAATGTCGTAGCAGGTAACACAAGATGTGTGTTAGCTGATGTCTGCTACAGCCTCTCTAATCACACTAGCGCAGGGATTTCCCTACATTCCTCGGGGGGGTGTACACTCCCCCTGAATTTCCCCAACACCCCCCCCCCAAGTTGTGTGAACTAGTTACATGCAGGGTTGCCAATTTAGTGATTGTTTGGAAATTTGCATTGAAATTGAAACATTAATACACACTTTAAAAGGATATACAGTGTATGATAAAATGTGTATCTGAAAAAGTATAATAGATTTGAAAAGTATGAACATAGACTAGCTTCCTTATACAGCTGTTGTTTTTTAGGACAATGTCAGTGCATTCATTTCGGTGATGTTGGCCAACCTAATAATCTCAAATGATGATTTGTAAGCAAAGTCTAAATGAGCTCTCCCTGACAGCTAGTGATGAGTTAGGGGCTGGGGGGAAAGGCTTCAGGACCAGATTGTATTTACATTCACACCTAATCTACCTAGGTATCCAGCAAATAGAGCTGTGTTACCCAAGTGATTAGATTTTGGCTTGGGTTGGGTTACAAATCACTTGAATGGGGTGTGTGGGGGGGTAATGAAATGTTGTTGTTCTTATTGTCTGAGTAAAGGGCATTAGAACTGTACTTAGCCTGTGCTGATTGAGGGCATCAAGGAGAGAGGGTGGGGACAGGTGTTTTGCTTGATGGTCTGCCTGAGTCACAAGTACTATTTGACCTGCCCCTCTCCACTGTTTAAAGACAGATCTGAGTAGGCTCCATAGAGAGTCTTTTGTTTTGTTAAGTGACCACTACAGCTGAAATCACTGATAATCAGGTCTAAGTGCTTAGACCTGCTGTGGGACAGTGTTTCTGTGGAAGAGATGGCCCAGTCTGCACTAGCAGTGAGGTTCCCCCACTGAGAGCTCAGCTGAAATCACTGAGAGCTGGGTGGAACCTCAAGAGACCAACTTGCAGAGGTCACAGTGGCAGGTGGCAGCAGAAGGTGATGGTGCAGGACCATTGGCAATAGAGAGATGGAGTGAACGGTGGCACAATGAACAACAGTGGCCAGAGTGAACAGTGAGCAGCTGGAGGAATGAGCAAGGTGCCTTTTTGCCCCCCGTAGGAGGTGAACTCATGTGAAGGCACAAGGTTCTGAAGATTCAGAGCAGGCTGCACATCGGGGACAGGAGGACGGTGAAGAAATTTGGCATCATGTGACCTCCAGAAGAAAAAGGGGGAACGTCCATGTATCAGCAACGCCGGTACAGGTAAGTAACCGTTTTCATGTTCTCTCCACAGGTACTAATGCGGAGAGTGGACCAGATGATACATCTGAGGGAAGGGAGCAGAAGGAGACTCCACCGATTGGAAGGCATGAGATGCACTGTCCTAAGGTTGGGGGTTCCACGACCACCGCTCCCAAGAGAAGGAGGCGGGTAGTGGTGGTCAGGGACTCTCTCCCCAGGGGGACTGAGTCATCTATCTGCCGCCCCGACCGGGAAAACTGAGAAGTCTGCTGCTTGCCAGGAGCTAAGATTCGCTATGTGACGGAGAGACTGCCGAGACTCATCAAGCCCTCGGATCGCTACCCCTTCCTGCTTCTCCATGTGGGCACCAATGATACTGCCAAGAATGACCTTGAGCGGATCACTGCAGACTATGTGGCTCTGGGAAGAAGGATAAAGGAGTTTGAGGCGCAACTGGTGTTCTCGTCCATCCTCCCCTTGGAAGGAAAAGGCCTGGGTAGAGACCGTCGAATCGTGGAAGTCAACGAATGGCTACGCAGGTGGTGTCGGAGAGAAGGCTTTGCATTCTTTGACCATGGGATGGTGTTCCAAGAAGGAGGAGTGCTGGGCAGAGATGAGCTCCACCAACGAAGAGAGGGAAGAGCATCTTCTCAAGCAGGCTGGCTAACCGAGTGAGGAGGGCTTTAAACTAGGTTCACCGGGGGAAGGAGACCAAAGCCCTGAGGTAAGTGGGGAAGTGAGATACCGGGAGGAAGCACAAGCAGGAGCGTGTGAGAGGGGAGGGCTCCTGCCTCATACTGAGAAAGAGGGGCGATCAGCGGGTTATCTCAAGTGCCTATACACAAATGCACGAAGCCTGGGAAACAAGCAGGGAGAACTGGAAGTCCTGGCAAAGTCAAGGAATTATGATGTGATTGAAATAACAGAGACTTGGTGGGATAACTCACATGACTGGAGTACTGTCATGGATGGATATAAGCTATTCAGGAAGGACAGGCAGGGCAGAAAAGGTGGGGGAGTTGCACTGTATGTCAGAGAGCAGTATGACTGTTCAAAGCTCCGGTATGAAACTGCAGAAAAACCTGAGAGTCTCTGGATTAAGTTTAGAAGTGTGAGCAACAAGGGTGATGTCGTGGTGGGAGTCTACTATAAACCACCGGACCAGGGGTATGAGGTGGACGAGGCTTTCTTCCAGCAACTCGCAGAAGCTACTAGATCGCACGCCCTGGTTCTCATGGGAGACTTCAATCACCCTGATATCTGCTGGGAGAGCAATACAGTGGTGCACAGACCATCCAGGAAGATTTTGGAAAATGTAGGGGACAATTTCCTGGTGCAAGTACTGGAGGAACCAACTAGGGGCAGAGCTCTTCTTGACCTGCTGCTCACAAACCGGGAAGAATTAGTAGGGGAAGCAAAAGTGGATGGGAACCTGGGAGGCAGTGACCATGAGATGGTCGAGTTCAGGATCCTGACACAAGGAAGAAAGGAAAGCAGCAGAATGCGGACCCTGGACTTCAGAAAAGCAGACTTTGACTCCCTCAGGGAGCTGATGGGCAAGATCCCCTGGGAGAATAACATGATGGGGAAAGGAGTCCAGGAGAGCTGGCTGTATTTTAAAGAATCCTTATTGAGGTTACAGGGACAAACCATCCCGATGTGTAGAAAGAATAGTAAATATGACAGGCGACCAGCTTGGCTTAACAGTGAAATCCTTGCTGATCTTAAACACAAAAAAGAAGCTTACAAGAAGTGGATGATTGGACAAATGACCACGGAAGAGTATAAAAATATTGCTCGTGCATGCAGCAGTGAAATCAGGAAGGCCAAATCACACCTGGAGTTGCCGCTAGCAAGGGATGTTAAGAGTAACAAGAAGGGTTTCTTCAGGTATGTTAGCAACAAGAAGAAAGTCAAGGAAAGTGTGGGCCCCTTACTGAATGAGGGAGGCAACCTAGTGACAGAGGATGTGGAAAAAGCTAATGTACTCAATGCTTTTTTTGCCTCTGTCTTCACGAACAAGGTCAGCTCCCAGACTACTGCACTGGGCAGCACAGCATGGGGAGGAGGTGACCAGCCTTCTGTGGAGAAAGAAGTGGTTCGGGACTATTTAGAAAAGCTGGACATGCACAAGTCCATGGGGCCGGATGCATTGCATCTGAGAGTGCTAAAGGAGTTGGCGGATGTGATTGCAGAGCCATTGGCCATTATCTTTGAAAACACATGGCGATATGGGGAGGTCCTGGATGACTGGAAAAAGGCTAATATAGTGCCCATCTTTAAAAAAGGGAAGAAGGAGAATCCTGGGAACTACAAGCCACCCCAGTTCCTGGAAAAATCATGGAGCAGGTCCTCAAGGAATCCATTCTGAAGCACTTAGAGGAGAGGAAAGTGATCAGGAACAGTCAGCATGGATTCACCAAGGGCAAATCATGCCTGATTAATCTAATTGCCCTCTATGATGAGATAACTGGCTCTGTGGATGAAGGGAAAGCAGTGGACGTGTTGTTCCTTGACATTAGCAAAGCTTTTGACACGGTCTCCCACAGTATTCTTGCCAGCAAGTTAAAGAAGTATGGGCTGGATGAATGGACTATAAGGTGGATAGTAAGCTGGCTCGATTGTCGGGCTCAACGGGTAGTGATCAATGGCTCCATGTCTAGTTGGCAGCTGGTATCAAGTGGAGTGCCCCAAGGGTCGGTCCTGGGGCCAGTTTTGTTCAATATCTTCATAAATGATCTGGAGGATGGTGTGGATTGTACCCTCAGCAAGTTTGCAGATGACACTAAACTGGGAGGAGAGGTAAATACGCTGGAGGGTAGGGATAGGATACAGAGGGACCTAGACAAATTGGAGGATTGGGCCAAAAGAAATCTGATGAGGTTCAACAAGTGCAGAGTCCTGCACTTAGGACGGAAGAATCCAACGCACCGCTACAGACTAGGGACCGAATGGCTCGGCAGCAGTTCTGCAGAAAAGGACCTAGGGGTTACAGTGGACGAGAAGCTGGATATGAGTCAACAATGTGCCCTTGTTGCCAAGAAGGCCAATGGCATTTTGGGATGTATAAGTAGAGGCATTGCCAGCAGATCGAGTGACGTGATCGTTCCCCTCTATTCGAAACTGGTGAGTCCTCATCTGGAGAACTGTGTCCAGTTTTGGGCCCCACACTACAAGAAGGATGTGGAAAAATTGGAAAGAGTCCAGCAGAGGGC